TGTTCGCCTCGTGGCTACTGCTGTCGGGCCTCAAGTTTATTATGAAGACCTCTCCGGTCACAGCCATTGCTCTCACAATTCCCGGCCCTAAAGATCACGCGACCAAAAAACAAGGTTTGGTTTTATATATTGATGTTTAGATATTTATGTTTTGATTTTATAGGATATAACACACTTTGCATATCATTGGCCGCTCACGCCATTCAACTCCTGAGTTCGCTGTTCGATGACCTGAAGTCTGAGATAAGTTTGGGCTCTTATAACAGGCTCTCGAACGCCGAAAAGCTGACGAGTCATCACTCGTCGAGTTCTTTCAAATACAACAAATTTGGTTACTATAGCGCGTGGCAGAGGATCGAAATGCTGATGTCCAACATCAACATCACTAACCTCTTGTTCACACTGTCGTCGGCCAGCTATCGAAAGGCCGGTCTCTTGAAAACAGTGTCCCGAACGGCGAGTCTCGAGCAGAACGACAAGACTAACAGCCCTTCGGTCTCCAATTCGCACGATTTGGACGACGAGTCGTGCTTTAGTTCAGACGACTCGAGTCGCGACGAGGACTCCGAACCCATATTAGGCCATCTGTTTAGAGAGCACGACGAGAGTCAAGGTATGACACAATTGTCTTGTTTGTTGTGTTTTAATACTTTATTTTTTTATAACATAGCCTCTGATAAGTCGATGAAAAGCCGACAAACTCTTGATATGAATTACTGTAACGATAAGCGCGAACCGCACCGACATCTGACACTCTCGACATCGATATTTGAATTGCTGAACACATACTTTGTCTGCTCGGAGATTGAGTCTCTGCGGCATTATTTCAAGCAAACGATCAATGATTCCCAGATCTGTATTTTGGCGCATATTATCAAAGACTTGGACCGCGAATGTGTCCACAATTATAACTTCTATTCGGACTTTTCGCCCGCTTTGACTTCATTTATGCATAATTTGATCGCCACTGAAGTGCTGAGCGATGCGCTCCAGAACTCGTTGCTGTCATCGTTGGGCGTGAATCCGGATCCGGCGCCCGAAGGCGTTTGGCCACTATATGTCGCGCCCAAAACTTTGTCCGTTTTGTCGCAAATAATACTTTTGAAACAACAAAAAGTGAGAAATTAGTTATTTATTTGATTTTTAGTTTTATTAACGACCGATACGTTTAGGAAAAGGAAGACCTGAGGTTTGACACAAAC